ACCCATATCCCCACTGTTGCCAAGTGCTTGCTCGGGGTTGTGTTTTCTCTGTAATACCGTATGGTCCTCATCTTACTATGTAAAGTGGCTTGAGATGATTTTTGTTGTGATTTGGCACTATAATACAAATAAACCTGAATTGAATTGAATTGAATAATTCTGATGTAAATAAACACTTTAAACCCCACAAACCTCACAGAAGGTTGATCAGTCAATACAAACTCGTTATTGTGCAGTCAAACATTGTTTAGGCCATTGTAAATTCTATTTTTAAAGCCCTGAAGACCCATTTTCTTAATCAGCTTTTTATTGTGAGTGATAGAGTCTTACATGAACACACATTTTCTGATGAAGGAACAAAAATTTATGTTATCTTGCAAGAGGAGATTTTTTTGTATTTAGCATGCTCTATGAGCTTTATATCAACTAAGCAGGTCTCATGCTTTGGAAAAATGCAATGTCATGTATTTCTTAGCAACATTTAAATAGAAATGTGATGACAGTTGTGGGGATGTTTGTTTATGTCGCCAGACCACTGTCATTCAAATCAGATCAAACCACAACAGCACTGCCCCGACGAAGCAGCTTTGCTGAGTTTTTGAATTTACTTTTAATAAAAAACAACTAAGGATATTTATTTCAAGGCATTAATTTAGATTTTTGCTTAGTTAGTCATAAATATTTTATGTAGCAGCATACCATTTAAGATTTGAAGCCAAGTTTTCAGGAGCTTTAAATTATAGTGCACAAAACATCTAGGTTGGTTTTTTTTTGATTAAACAGTGCAGCATAAAAGTGAGTAATACTGGGGAGAATATTTTTCTCAGTGTAAACATCACACAGTGTCAATGAAAAGGTGATGTTGTACAGACACTCACCAGCCACTTTATTAGGTACACCTGTACAAGTTTCCTGCCCAGCTACGTACATGAGAGGGTCAGAATATCAGGAACACCTCTGAATCTAATGTAGTCCAGCACAGCACCACCTTTAACTATGAGCTCAAAAATAAACATATTATTGAATTTATACATTTACGTCAATTTCACCAAAAACTGAAACGTTTTGAGTTTCATAAACACAGATGTTAAGGTAGAAGTGATACACTGAATAGCACACAATTGTACAGGTGTACCTAATAAAATGGACAGTGAGTGTATATATGTGATACTGTTGGACAGTGTGATTTTTAATCATTTTAAAGCTACTTCAGGGAGGGCACAAGGGTAAAACTATATGGGTTAATGCTGCAGTTTTACTGCACATGTAATCGTTCCATAATATTTAGATTTCTATTCTAGTAGCTGGATTTCATTATTTCCTACACATGGTCATAAATTACATGAAAGTGTCAGCAGCTTAGTGCAGTTCACAGAGTAGCAGAACAGGCTGTGGTCCATTGACTGAGCGGAGGAGCAAGCTATCCCATACGAGTGAGTACCTTCTCTCCTCTGAGTGTGTGTATGCTTCTCTGTGTGTGTCAGGCTTGGATGGGCCTGCTGAGCTGAGTAGAGGTGACTCGGCTAAGTGTGTGTGTCTTATATCAGTGTGTCCTGTGTTCGCTTGCACTGTATGGGGCACTTTAGTCCATTCTGCACTGGCACTGGAAGGCACCATACACACACACACACACACACACACACACACACACACATACGGCACATGTGTATGCACAACTACACACACGTGCACAGAGTCAATGTTTTGATGTAAACTCAATTGGACAAGGGGTTGAGTCTTTCTTTCTCTACCCTCGTCTCTTTTTTCCTTCTTCTTTCATTGCTTCCCTCCCTGTGACACTTTTAACGGCACATCACGCAACCCTGTGCTCACACACATGCACACATACACATACACAGCATGTCGTGATCTCAGCCAGAGTTCTGCACCTTTGTCGGGGAGAACCACTTAAGCACACTCATGTACACACACATATTCACCACTTAAGCCGACTTCCTTTCACCATCTCGTGCCCTCCCCTCCTCTCTGTCTTGTCTGGTCTCGTGTGTGCGTGACTGTGGCTGGCTTTGGCGAGGGCGAATTAGCACGGCAACCCAGTTTAGTGCCAGAAGAGACAACACATCAGCGGCGGATATATTGAAGAGCTCTTTTTCTATTTTTTTTTCCCACTGCAATTCACTTTCTGCTGCGGCTGCAGTGATGTAATGGTAATTAAAATATGGGCTAAAAACATCACCCCCAGCTGAGGATCATCATAGCCAGCCAATGCCTTTTTACTTTTTTCACTTAAGAAATCCTAACTTTATAGGCTCAGATAACTAATGTCAGTGTGTTACATTTAAATCATCTGTAAAACATGAATAAAACATAAACAAAACCTGACTCAAGATGTTTTTTGTTTCCACCCTTTGCTTTCTTGTTGGACTGTGTTTTGCATGGTTTTGTTGATGCTAACTGCCTGAAACTAATTATAGAAAGTCTGTAAGTGGCCGTCTGAAGTGGACACACACACACACACACACACACACACACACACGCACACACACACACGCACACTCCCCTTCCTACGCTGTAAAACATATTTTGACAACGAGCTCTCAATGTGTCGAAGCGAGAGGGTGTTTACCACTGGCCACAGACACAATAGAGATGTGTGTGTGTTGGGGGGTTGGGAAGAGGAGGAAGAGGAGTGGGGAAAGCAAGCAAACTGGTGTTACGTGTCTTGTTTGGCTTGTTTAGCTGACAAACTGCTTTTAGCGTTTAATTATCCATTGCTCTGTGATTAATAGGTTTTAATTACTGTAACCCATAGCAACCTGAAATATGCACAGGGCTCCAAATGAGGTCAGTCTATAAAAACCCCATAAAATATCAAAAGAGACAAAAATAAATATAACGTTGGTAAAAAAAAAAAAAGAAAAAAAAAAAGGGGGGGTGAGAATCTTTGCTTCTGAAATGTTTCTTATTATTCTTCATGGACCGCTGTGTGGGAGAAGAAACTTGAGCTCAGACACAGCTATAGAATTTTCTCAGTATTTACCTACTTGAGAAAATTGTTAGATCTTAGAAAAGCTTGTGACTGGAGCTTGAACTTCTTCACTCTATTTATTTATTTCTATATGAGCCACAGCCAGAGCTTCAAACAGACCATTCGATTCACTAGAAAGGTCTGAACCTTTCCAAACTCATGTTTTGCCATGAAGGCTTTGTACATTCTTGAGACACTTCTGCTGCTGCTCAGAAGAAACTTTCACATAGTTAAATAAATGGGCAGCTCTGATACCTACATGGTCATTTTTCTCAATTAATCAAAATTCACCAATCAAGCCCAAATGTGCCAGTATTTTGCAGCGTCACTTATATTAAACCACTTTAACTCTGGTCTTTTGTTTCAGTTGTTCTAAACTAGACAAAAAAAAAAAACCCATAAATGTTTGCCTTTCACTTCTGGCCCTCCTTCCCTGGGGGCACATTGACTGGCACAAGCAACTCACTGACAGTTTTACTCTCAGACATTGCCCTGAGAATAGATGTCTCAGAGCAATGTTTATTTCAGGTGTAATGTGAAACTTTTATCAAGTGTAAACTACATATACTGTACATATGCAGAAATAACAGAATAATGCTTTAAAGGTGAATAAATCATTTTAATTGAAGGATGTGAAAGTTTTCTCCTTGAGTTGATTTAATTCCTGCAGCTATCTGAGGGCAGCAGGACACCCACAGTGTCTTGATAAATCTGTGTTTGAGAAGTGCTGCACCAGAGCACATTGCCATTATGCATGGCTGTCCACTCTGTTTACCTTCATTAAATCATGTGCAAATGACACCAGGCTGCTACATAATGACCCTGTATTCTGTTGTTTATGTGAGAGACATTGGATTAGCAGGCTAATTAATCCTGTGCGTCAGAGCCTTCATTACTTTTTAGTTTTCATGCCTTTCAGAAGTTTTGTGTTGTGATGTGACAATTTACAACATGGGATGAAGTACAAAATTGAAAACACATCAGATTGATATGATCATATCAATGTAAATGTGATTTACTGAACAACTGTCAGACTGCTGAAGTCTCATTGTATCCTCCGATTAACTTGTGTAGTTTTGGTTCCTTGTCACCAGTAGCTCTTTCAAAGTACATAAGGGTATGTTTCACAGATGTGTAGAATGTGAACCGATCCTTTAAAATAATTTTAGAACTGTAATCAGATGGTATCCCATGTAAGTAAGAGAAATAATAATAATAAAAACCTGCCCAAAAACAGTGAGCAAACAACAAACTGCTGTGTTTTATATTCCACTTTATCAGGTTTTAGTGCAGAGCCACTCACAATGATGGCATTCACTCACCTCTTGCTCTCTGTGGAGAATTTAAAGTTATTGTTGCCCTCCTCTTTTCCTCAACCTCTGTCTGTCACTTTCAGCTGTTCCCGTTAGAGGTCGCCACACAGAATGGTCACACTGACGATTCGCATGTTAAAATTTGGCACGTGTTTTATGCCGGATGCCCTTCCTGACACGACCCTGAATCAAACCCAGGCTACAGCGGCGAGAGCACTGAATCCTAGTCCTCTTTTCCTCTACCATCTTCTCCAAATGCACTGTTTTCCTCATTTCTATCTCTTATTTGCAGTATAATAATGAGTGTCTATTTTTGTTTTGATACAGGAATGTGAGAATTTGTGTTCAGCGAGGTTTAAGATCTGTCCACAGCTTTAGTTGACCATCATTACTCCCTAGTCGCTGCAACTCACTCACTTTTAATGAGACGTTGCCACTGTTTTAACTGACCGCATATGTACCACACTTTTTAAACGGCCTTGCATGATTTACATAGATCCCTTAGGAAATCATTTCCTACCTTCCCACAATCAGCAAGTGGATATAATAGATTGAATTGTGGTTTAGCTTTTGAATTCTGCCATCACAGAATGCTGTGGTTAGTCCTTTTTCCTTTCACACTTTGTTTGCACCAAAGGCACCAGAGTTCTTTTGAACTGCATAGAACAAGTTGGAAGTGACACCCTAAATTAACATACCTATGCAGGAGTCTCTGTGCTCTTCAAATCCAGCGGAGCACACACACCTCCCAATGGGCACCAGCCACTCTCCCTCAGCGCTGCAGTACATCTTGGGCGTGTCTCTTTCCTCAGCGTGGTCCACACACTGACCCCTGACCTCGACCAGAGAAGATGAGTCAGCCCCCGTCACCACATCGGTGAACACGGCCAGTTTACGGCTCACACCCACACAGCGTTTGTAGTACACCCGCACAGAGGTGAGGGCAATGCACGCACCAATATCCTGGAAGGCCAGGTAGAAGCCTCGCCTGCTCAGAGGGCCCACACTTCGCATCTGAGAGAACAGAGAAGCAGCTGTCACTTCATCTCACATATTTCAGGGGAGTGTTAATTTTTTTTTGACAATAATAACAAACATTCCCCATAATAGGATACACATAGTGGAGTGGCACAGTTGTGTCTCTCATTATGCAGCTGTGCAGTGTAATTTTGGTACTTGTTTTATAAAATTGTGCTTGTGCACAAGTGAAGGAAACTGGTGCTCTAATACAGTGGATCAACCGGGGGGGCAAAAACCCTAGAAGCTATCATTAAATAAATAAAAAGGGTCCTGAGGGAATCAAGAGGGCAGCAAAAATATTAAACCATTTCCAATACCAAAGTCTGTGAACTACTGTATGTAGTGCTGATTTGTGGATTTAGACCACTAAACAGTTTTTCATCATTTTTGAGTTCAGGATCTTTTAGGTGGGGCAAAGACTTTATAGAATTAACATTACTGCATTACACTGCTGCCTGCACATGAATAGTGAACATGACAGAGCAGGTCTGAACTGATCATAGGGACATGAGGGAGCTGACCAGCCACATACACACAGACACAGCAGACCATGCAGCTGCAGCATTGGACAGATTCCTGCAGCCACATCTAAACAGCTATTAGCTATAAGCCTAACAAGCTAGCTATGGTTAACATGGTGGATGGCAGACTGCAGGCAAAGTTGAAATGATCACTTCTCTGCAGGCTTATACTCATTTAGCAGGTGTTTTGATAAATTACTCTCACTGGCTTTTTACTCGTGAAGGTTTTATTGCACGTACAGTAATGAGCACAGGTGTTGTATACTTCACTACTATGTTTAACTTCACCCTGCCTCCATCTGTACGTTGTGTCTCAGCTGCTGTTTGCTCCATGTGTAGCGCTGCACTGCGCTCATTCAAACAGAAACACAGAGAGGAAAAGCCGCTCCATAAACACCAAAGTCATATTTTCCAATCCACTAATCTCACTCACTGGTCTCTTTGAGTACTGATTAAAAAAATAAAAAAGGTGAAAAAACAGACATCTGTGTATTGAAATTATCAAAGCTATGCAATTATAAGGCATGAGCCCACTGCAATTTTTAAAGACCTTTAATAATGATTTTTCTTTTGAAATACTGGATAAATTCCACTTTTCTGATAATATATCAAAAATGGCAGAACAGCTCACAACCTATAACAACAAAACTTTGCCCCATTTTGAAGGGCCAAAAGAAAAAACTGCGGAACCGCTGCCCTACTGCACTTGCCCTATGCATACATTTTTGTGTCATTTAATTTCATGTTTTTGTTCTTCACTGACTATTATGCTCAGCGCCAGTGGTGACCTTACAAAAGTACTATAAAACAAATGTAGACCTATACTACATATACATACAATATATTTACAATCATATTGCATATGAATTATTATATTTTTGAAGCCTCTGAGTAATTTATTAGATTTACTAGTCTAGGGTTTGTAAAGTGATGTCATTTTTTTACACTGAAAGCTCAAACA